AAAGGATCAAAAATATTTGATCAACTCCTGGCTGGGAGTACATTTTACAGCCTCTGCTCCGCAGAAAAAAGGAGGAGTAGTTATTTATGTGAGGAAAGATTTATCACCGAAATTAATTGACTCTGATCCACAAGGAAGATATGTTATTATTGATTTATTATTAAATGGTAAGAGAAATCTTGTCATTGGACTATATGCTCCTAATCAGCAACAAAAATACTTTTATAAGATGATACATCAGAAATTAATTCAATTGGATTATAAATCAGTAATTATGATGGGAGATTGGAATGGTGTTTTAGATTCAAGTAAAGACAAGAAGGGCTCTTTTAAATCTTCTAATCATGCAAAACTACCTAAAGTTTTTTTTGATTTGAAGGATGATCTGGAACTTAGAGACATTTGGCGAGAACGGAATACTGAAGAAAGAGACTTTACTTTTTTTTCAGACAGGCATCAATCGTACTCCAGAATTGACTTTTTTAAAATTACTAATGACTTCTTTTCTAGGGTGAAGAATGTCAAGATATTCCCCAAAATATTGTCAGACCATAGTCCTGTATGGCTGGAGTTATCTACTGAAGATGGGAATAGAAGTACTTGGAGACTGAATGAAAATTTATTTAGACATGAGGGGAATATACAGAGATGTAGAGATTATTTAAAGGATTTTTTTTCTTTTGAATATGCATAAGGGTACTTCAATGCCAATGGTATGGGATGCCAGTAAAGCATATATGAGAGGGGTTTTGATTCATATGAATAATGTGCATAGACGCAAACAGATGCAGAAACGTAAAGAGTTGGAAGAAGAGATTAAACGTAAGGAAAGGCTCTTATATTAAATCCATTGGACAATAGTTTAAAGGTTTCTATAACTTTGCTTAAGGAGCAATTTAATATGTTAATAACTGATCAGATTGCAACTAATTTGAGGTATATGAAACATAATACATTTTGCAATGCAAACAAACCTGGTAGGTGGTTGGCTTACCAACTACGAAAGAAACAGAAATCAAGGATTATAGAAAAAATAAATTATAAAGGTAAAGAAGTATATCAACAAAACTTGATTAAAAGGAGTTTTTTAGATTTTTATTCAAAGTTATATGCTAGTGAAAGTATACAAGTTTTAGATATAGAAAAGTATTTACAGGAAGCACATTTTCCTAGACTTACTACTGATCAGCGAGATGAGATTAATGGTTTAATCACTTCTGATAAGATTATTTGGGCAATTAAGCAATTAAAGGTTGGTAAGGCTCCAGGCACTGATGGATTAACAGCAATTTATTATAAAATGCTATTTGAAGAAATGATAGAACTATTGAAGGAACTTTTTAATAACATTCTGCTGGGAGAAGTACCTCCATCTTGGAGAAGGGCTTTTATATCACTGATTCCAAAGGAGGATCAAGACTTGACTCAGCCCCAAAATTATAGGCCTATATCTCTTTTGAACACAGATTATAAGATTTTTTCAAAAATATTGGCAAATAGATTAATGTGAGTTTTGAAGCAATTGATTCATAGTGATCAATCTGGATTTATAACTGGAAGATATATGAAATATAATGTAAGACAAATTGTTAATCTAATTGAGCACTTGGACAAGACCAATCAAATCCCTGCGGCTTTGATATTTTTAGATGCTGAAAAAGCTTTTGATCAATTAGATTGGCAATTTTTATTGAGAGTAGTAAAGGAAATGAATTTTGGGGATAAATTTTTGTATGCTCTTAAGGCTATATATCAACAACAATCTGCACAATTTATAATTAATGGGGGATTAACAGAAGCATTTAAAATTGAAAAGGGTACAAGACAGGGATGTCCCTTATCCCCATTGTTATTTGTTTTAATAATGGAGATTTTACTTATTAAAATTCGCGAGTCACCTAGAATAAAGGGAATAAAAATAAATAAGAATGATTATAGGTTGAGAGCTTTTGCTGATGATTTGGTTGTGACATTATCTCAACTGACAGACTCGGTTAGGGATTTGGTTGAAATTTTAATTCAGTATGGGGAGGTTTCTGATTTTAAGGTAAATAATAATAAGACTAAAATATTATCAAAAAATATGTCTATGAAGGAAAAGGATATTTTGGCTAAATTAACAGGTTTTGAAATAGTGAGAACAGTTAAATATTTAGGAGTATATATTACAGCTTCTAATGTTAAATTGTATAAAAATAATTATGAGACATTATGGGCAAAAGTGCAAAAGGACTTAAGTGACTGGAAAAAACTACAATTATCTTTGTTGGGGAGAATTTCAGCAGTTAAAATGAACATACTTCCAAAGTTTCTTTTCTTGTTAAAAATGATACCTATTTTGAAAAAAGATGCTAATTTGGAGGAATGGCAGAAGGGGATTAATAAGTTCATTTGGGCAGGGAAAAAGCCAAGAGTTAAATTTAAGATTATACAAGACATACGGGAAAGAGGAGGACTTAAGGCGCCTAATTTAAAATTGTACTATGATGCGGTGGCTTTAATGTTGATTAGTGATTGGCTCAACTTAACAAATAAAAATATTCTTTCTCTTGAGGGATGGGATTTATTATATGGATGGTACGCGTATTTAATTTATGATAAAAAAAATTGATCAGGTTTTTAAAACCCATATTTTGAGAAGTGCCTTGTTGTGTGTCTGGAAGAAATATTATTACAGGTTAAATTATAAAATTCCAATTTGGGGAATTCCTGGACACGTGATAGAGGGAGTATCTACGGGAATGAATTTGGATAAGATTTCTTATAAGGAATTACTTAGTTTGGTTGGGCAAGATTGGCAATTAAAGTCTTTAACTGAGTTGAAGCAAGAAAATACTGTATACTCTTGGTTTCATTATAATCAATTGTTACTGAGGTGGAGTTTAGATCAAAAGGCTGGTATTACTTTAGAGGGTGTGAATTTGGTAAAACAGATTAAAGATCAAAGTCGAGCTCATATAAAGAGAATTTATAATGCTTTAATAGAATTGGATTCTGAAATGAAGTTAGTTAAAGATTGTATGGTTAAATGGGCTCAAAATATTCATGAGCCGACTTTATTGGATACATGGGAGACAATTTGGGTTAGAAATGTAAAATTTACTCAAGCGCAAAATTTAAGAGAAAATTTTTATAAAATGTTTTATAGATGGCATTTGGATCCCCAAAAGTTGTCCTGCATGTATCTGAATTTACAGCCCAAATGTTGGAGATGTGGAAGTTTAGATGCAACCTATTTTCACATTTGGTGGACTTGTAGAGAAATAAAAGCTTTTTGGATTAAGATTTGGTGGAGTATTCAAAAGATTTTTAAGAGAAAGATAAAAGTTTACTCCGCAGTTATTTTTGTTGGGTATTATTGTAGATTTTGATGTTAAAGAAATCAATTTGATGTTGAATCTTATAACAGCTGCAAGATTACTGGTGGGGCAATATTAGAAGAAAAACTCTTTGTGTAAGGACCCACCCCACTTTACATCTTAAGAAGACAGAACTCCTGGAATAATTCTTCCAACAGGAATCCTTTATTAAGACAAAATGGTTGCAGGCGTTCTAGACAGGACTTGGGGTCCAAGCTCTCCCATTCGAGGTTTTAAGGGGTTCCCCAGTAGTCCCACCCAATCACCCCCCTCTACCAGTGACAGTTTCAGGCATCACAATCCCACCCCTCTTTCCTTTCTACCGGCTGGATGGAGACTTCAGAGAAAGCTACATGAAAGGTAAATAGCCTCCTTTGTTATGATAAGGCCTTTTAGTGCTATCCACATTCAAACCCTTTGAAGTTGTACCGAAGGAAGTGAGGGCCATAAAGCCCCTTTGTTCACCCCCTTCTCTTTCTTTATGACAGAATCCAGAGAGGGCAGAAATGGGGTTTTCTATAATTGATAACTGGAGATGAATTATAATTGGATTCTGACACATTACCTACTATGGAAGAATGGATACTTAAGGTGTCTAATTTAGCAGAAATGACGAAAATCTCCGCCTATTTGAAGGATCATTCACAAGAAAAATATATTATGGTTTGGAGAAGATGAAACTGAAAAGTATTATCTTGCATATAAGTAGATTTTAGATAATTATTAATAGTTTTAATTATATTATTTTGGTTTTTAATTTGTTAATATTTACTTTGAAAAGGAGTTAAAGTGTGTTATAGTTTTGATTGATAGTATAGTTGGTTAATGTTAGTTAGATTATGTTTGTTTATTTGTTACCCTGCAATCAGCTCTGGGAAGTGGGGGAGAAGGGGTGGGAGGGGTTTATATTGTATTAAATTTGTAAAACTTTTAATAAAATAAATAAATAAAAGTTCGCCATCACTGGCCTAAGGCCAACCAGCCTGGAGCTGCCATTGGGGAGCCCACCATCCCACCCACCAGAGACCTCCTGAATCTCCCCCAACCCTGCCCGGCTCCCACAGGAGTCTCTCCCCATAAGCAACTTCAAAGTGACCATGCCCATCCCGGACACGCCCACCCAATCTGCCATGACTACTGCAGCCACACCTATCCAGTGGCCACACCCACCCAGTCTGCCAAGCCCACTGTAGCTGTGCCTGAGTGGGCCACACCAACCCGGCACCCGGCGATATATAAGTGGGTTTTGGGTTGCAGTTTGGGCACTCGGTCTCTAAAAGGCTTGCCATCACTGGTATAAGATCTCCTGCTTGAGCAGGGAGTTGGAGTAGAAGACCTCCAAGGTCCCTTCCAGCTCTATTTTGGTTGAAGTAGAACTGGAAGTCAGATTTCCCATAGTTCCTTGAGTACTCTGAAAATATTTCATATTTATTGCGAACTGCCTAAAATGATCTTTTATAAAACAGGCAGCCATGTAAATTTCTAAAAAAAAAAAAATTAAGTCCCATCTATTTTAGAGGATGAGAGCTTAAACTCCTACTGAAATCAATATTACATGGATTGATTGTACCTTAAATATTTGTTTTCTGAAATGTTTCTAATATCCAAGGTAAAACAAAGAAATATTTATATATAACTTACCTTTAAGGTTCTAGTTGGAGCCCAGCCAGTGCCATCAATAGAATGTTCTCTCAATAAACTGAAAGAGATAACAAAATATTATCTTACAAATACAACTCACATCTTTAAATACACTAAGTTTTAGAAATGCAATCAATGTAACAAAACATGCACATTCACTTAATAAATACTGCAGACTAATATTTTACAAGTATTGCCAGAGTATATTTGCATTATAAAAAGTTCTGAAAGTATCTTATTATTATATTTATATCAAATATAAGTAGTCTTCAACTTACAATTATTTGTTTAGTGACCAAAGTTACAAAAGCACTGAAAAAAGTGAGTTAAGATTGTTTCTCATACTTATGACCATTGTAGCATCCTCATGGTCATGTGATCAAAATTCAGATAATAGAATAGAATAGAGAATAGAATAGAAGCTGGAAGGGACCTTGGACGTCTTCTAGTCCAGCCCCCTGCTCAAGCAGGAGAACCTTACACTGTCTCAGACAGGTGAATGTCCAATCTCTTCTTAAAAATCTCCAGTAATGGAGCGCCCAAGATTTCTGGGAGTAAGCTATTCCACTGCTTGATTGTCCTCACTGTCAGGAAGTTTCTCTTTAGTTCCAGGTTGCTTCTCTCTTTGATCAGTTTCCAACCACTGGTTCTCATCCTTCCCTCTGGTGCTTTGGTGAACAATCTGGCCCCCTTTTCCCTGTGGCAGCCCCTCAGACGGGGTCATGTGATCATTTTTTTGCAACCTTCTGACAAGCAAAGTCAATGAGGAAACTGGATTCCCTTAACAACTGTTACTAACTTAACAACTGCAATGATTCACTTAACAACTGTGGCAAGAAAGGTCGTAAAATGGGGCAAAACTCACTTAACAACTGTCTTGCTTAGCAACAGAAATTTTGGGCTATATTGTGGTCATAAATTGAGAATTACCTGTATGAACAGATATAAAATGATATCTTTATTTTTTAAAAGATATGGAATTATACGTGATTCCTGAAGATGTTATTTCTTCAGATAATGAGAACGACTGAAATTATTAATATTGCTAGGGCTTTTCCCCCTCATATTCCTCTTAATTTGCCTTCTTGCTTGACTATTATTCTGTTAAATGTGACTATTAGTCTATTATCACTGACATAGTAAAGAATCTTTTTTTATGACAGCTTCAGTTATATCTGTGGTTCTCAACCTGTGGGTCGGGACCCCATTTGGGGTCAAACGACCATTTCACGGGGGTCACCAGTCTGCCATTTTTTCCCCCTTTTCCTTAGCTGTGCTACTCCCTTTTATTCTATTGGCTTTTGAAAGCCAATAGAATAGACTCTCTTGAATAGAGTCTAATTCTATTGGCTTTCAAAAGCCAATAGGAATTGTCCAGGCTGTCTCTGCCCTGCTGAGCCCACCAAAAGTCCCATTCTGCAAACGGTGCTGCACCAGTTGAGTAGTCCTCGACTTACGACCAGTTGAGTAGTCCTCGACTTACGATCAGTTGGGGGTCGCGGCATTAAAAAGATTGAGAACCACTGAGTTATATGAACATTAGCTACCACTATTCTTAAAACTGAACACAGCCACTTTTCTTAATCTATTTTAATAAGATTTAATCTATATTCTGTTAAATGCTCTCTAGTAGTTCTGATGTTTTCTAATCTGTAACTGCAAATTTCTTACTTAAGAGATGAAATTTTGAATATCAGGCAGTGGACTTTAAATAACATGCAGCTTCCTGGGACTATTCATCCCTTCTTTTCAAATGTAGAGGAAATTCTGACTAAGGGAACAACAGTTACCTCTTTTAGCACAGCATTTAGAAAGAAGCAGAAGAGAAACAAGAGGAGAAAGAGGGGCAAGTGAGAAGGCATTTTACAAAGACCCAGGAAGCATGGGGCAAGAAAATCTTCCCTTCCCTTGCTGTATTTAACTAATTTTCATTCACTCGTAAATAAGACAGATGAAATGCTCCTTTTAAACAGGAACAACTCAGATTTTTCCAACTCAGCAGACCTCTGCTTCATTGAAACATGGCCGAATGATTTGATTAATGATAGCTGCTTGCAAATACCAAGATTTCAGATTCAAAGAGCAGATAGAATTGCAGAAACATCCAGTAAAAAGAAGGGAAGATGGTGTAAAAATGTCACTACACTAAAGTAATTTTGTGACGTGGACTTAGAGACACTATTTATTATTTGCATATCCTATTACGCTCCCCAAGAGTTTTCTTCATTGCAAACCTTAACTGATCAAATCCTGTGGGCTCCCAGACTCCCGACTTCCGGTTTTGCACCCATAACACATGGCCATGTGAGAGTGGACCTCCGCTTCCCACAACTTGTTTTGTCCTGCCAGGGGGACCCTAGATGAGTCCGAAGTCACCCTGAAGAGGTGACCGTGAAGGAGAGGTGCCCCATTGATTATGAAGTAATGGCAGTTGCTTCCTTTGATCTGGGGGAAGCCCTCTGACCCAACAGCAGAAAGGCTAGCGTGAGATCAGCATCTAGCCCAAGCTACTTGCAGCCGAAGTCCAAGAGCATGAACCTGAACATCGGTGAACAGCATGCTTGGAATTGGTGAGAGTATTGATCTTCTTTCTTCTATCTACTAATTGAATCCTTAAGAAAGATCTCCAAACCTCCAGAAGTGGAGGGGACTATCCCCATTCCCTTATAGACGGAAGCAGTGAATTAATATTAAGGAGGAAAGAGATATATTAAAATTTGATTTAAAATACTACAGTCTGAACAAATTTAGGAACTAAAAAACTGTCAAGAGTATACCTTAAAGAGTTTTGATGGAATTATAAAAATATATAACAAAAATAGCTTTTTGATTTAAAAAAAACTAAAAAAAGAAATAACTGCTGACATCTACTGGAGAATCAGAGCATAGAATACTAACAATAAGGACTCAGAAATTGGCAGAATGCCCAGAAATAAAGAAAAAGCTGTCCCTTTAAATTGCAAATAACCTTGAAGACAGCTGAGAACAAAGGAAGAGCCAGCTATAAGATTAAAAAGTGTCTGGAAGGGAAAAAAAAACCACTTGGACTGTTGTTTAAATCTAAGAACTGTTTATGGAAAAGAAAAAGCTTGGCCTTTGGCTAATCTTTTAGAGGACAATCTACAGGAAGGATTTAAAGTGGCTTAACACACTAAACAGTAATTTTGATTGACTGATAAATTGACTCTTGGATTAAAACATTGATGAAAGATTATTTGAAGGGGGGAGACAACATGGATTTCATATACGAATCAAAAAATGACAGGATGCCACATTCAATATTTTTTCCTGAAGGACTTAGCCTGGAAAATCAAGGGCCTCCAGAAGTAATATTTCAAGGCAAGATAAATACTTTGCAGGAGGAAATATATGTAATGTTAGGACAAATACAAATGACTCAAACCACAAGGAAATTCGAAACAACTTTGATTATTTAAATAAACATATTTCTAATCTAAATTTACAATTTAAAAACACCCAGGAAATAACAATGAATGAATAAATAAATCAGATAACAGACCACAAATTAGAAGAATATAATCAAATTGATGAAATAAAAAATGAAAGAATTACAATTTAATACAAACAGGAAAAAATATACAAGATTCTGATACAACAAGAAAAATGGAATGGACTATAGAACTTCCAGGAGAACCATCAGAGTTTGGGAGACAGAAAGTATTTATCTTACTTAATCTTTTGTATTCCCAACAACATTTGCAAAAACACAGGAACCGCCAGGTAAGCGTATTACATCAACTTGGAAAACTATTCGGCAAAAGAAGATCAGAGACAGATACAACAGATTTGACTCACCCTACCATATGGATTATTATGTGAACAAACACTTGTTTGAATATGGCTAAAAGAATAGAGAATTTTGAACATAAAGGGGTCCTATAACAAGAGGGATAAGAGATTTAAGTAATATAGTATGTCCCATAATATATGAAATGTAAAAATAGTGGGTTAATGTAACTTTTATTAATATAAATGAAATATAAACTAATTAAAAAGGATTTTATACTTAGATATTATAAGATAGATAAAAATTATAGCATTTTATAATGCGTGACATAAAATATTGGGAATATAAGGGAATATATTTTGTTTAAGGTTGAAGAATATAAATGGGAGAAGGGAAGATCAAAGAAATATATCATTAATTAATATATTAATTATGGAATTATCAAACTTAATCATTATTGATTAATTAATTATTATTGTCTTTTTTTCTTGTTAAAATATAAACCAAGACAACACTCTATACACCAGGCACTGGAGATTGTTATAGTTAAACCCAATAAAATATTTACAAAAAGAGAGAAAGAGAGAGAGAGAGAGATCCAGACTCCCTACTCATTATATTAGGATATTTTAACAGTGCTAACCAAAGCCAAGAGCTGCCAAGATATATTCAGCATGTCAACTGTCTCACAAGAGGCAAGAATATTTTAGACCACTGCTACTCTAGATTAAAAGATGCTTATTGCTCTCTAACAAGAGTGGCTGTGTGACACTCTGATCACTGTTTGATTCACCTTCTACCTGTTTATAGACAAAGACTCAAAATCATAAAACCAATAGTTAAAACAGCGAATTCTTGGACTGAAGAGGCAAAGTTAAAGCTACAGGCTTGCTGTGACTGCACAGACTGTAATGTTTTTGAAGCTGCCTCAGTGGACTTGGATGAACTCACTGACATTGTGACATTACATGTTAACTTTTGTGAGGACTCGTGTACCAAACAAAACATTATGCATCTACAGTAATGATAAACTTTGGTTCAAAGCTAAGCTCACACATCTATGTTGTGCCAAAGAGGAAGCCTACAGGAAAGGAGATAGAATGCTGTACAATCAGGTCAGAAATATATCGGAGCAGCAAAAAGAAGCTACTCTGAAAAGCTGAGGAATCAGTTCTCAACAAATGAACCAGCAAATGTGAGGAAAAGCCTGAAAAAATATCACTGGCTACAGTAGACCTCCTTCCCTTGCTGAAGAGAATCGGTAATTGGCAAATGAACTGTAGGTGTTCCACTGTAGATTTGAGAGGAGACCATTGTCAACTATCTCTACCCTCTTCATCTCAGATACACCAACAACAGCCAAGTCTCCTACACCCAACTCCATCCCTCCGGTGATCACAGAAAAGATTTATGAGATCTGTTTCACAGACAAAAGGCTGGAAAAGCACCTGGCCCAGACAGGGTAACTCCCTCTTGCTTGAAAGTCTGTGCTGATCAACTGGCCCAATCTTCACCCACATTTTTAATAAATCACTGGAGATGGTTATGTCCCTTCTTGCTTCAAAGACTCTACTATCATTCTGGTGCCCAAGAAAACTTCCATCAAGGATTGAATGATTAGGGACCAGTTGCTCTGACATCCATAGTTATGAAAACCTTTGAAAGGTTAATGCTGGCCCACTTGAAAGCCATCACAGATCCACTGCTAGATCTGTGCAATTTGCCTACCATGCAAATAGGTTGGCAAATGAGGCTGTCAATATGGCACTCCACTATATCTTACTGTCAGAGTTGTGATGAAAAAGATCAACTTCAGTACACTGGAAAACCCCGACGTAGTAGCTTCATTAGTAAAAGATCTTGACAATCAATTCCTGGAGCTGCAAATACAGGAAAATGCTGAGAAGGACTGGGAATGTTTCCGGGACATCTAGCACTCTTCTGCACTTAAGGTTCTTGGACCCTCATATAGGAAGCAGCAGGACTGTTTGATGAAAGCGATGAAGAGATTAAGGCCTTGCTTGCTGAAAAACACCATCTGTACCGCACTCATCAGAATGACCCATCGTCAATTGCAAAGAAAAATGCTTTTATAAACACTCGCAGGATTGTACAGAGCAAGCTCCGCAAGATGCAGGACTCCTGGCTGAGTGCCAAAGCAGATGAAATCCAGACATTTGCTGATAGAAACGATGCCAAACGATTCTATGAAGCCCTTAGATCCCTGTATGGACCTCAGCCCTTAGGAAGCTCTCTTTTACTGGATTCGAGTGATACAACTCTTATCACTGAGAAGACCGTGATTTTACAGCGTTGGGCGGAGCATTTCCACTCTGTGCTGAACCGCCCATCCACCATCAATAATGAGGCGATTGACAGGATACTCCAGGTAGATATGAACTATAGCCTGGATGCCCTACCATCAGAGGCTGAAACTTCACAGGCCATCAGTCAATGTTCCAGTGGTAAGGCGCCAGGATCTGACGCAATCCCAGCGGAAGTCTATAAGGCTGGCGGTGCTGTGCTTGTTGAAAAACTTACCCAGTTGTTTCGATCCTTCTGGAAACAAGATTCCATTCCTCAGGAACTGAAAGACACGTCCATCGTGCACCTCTACAAGAGGAAAGGAAACCGACAAGTCTGCGATAATTATAGAGGAATATCACTTCTCTCCGTTGCAGGCAAGATCTTTGCACGAGTGTTGCTAAATCGCCTGATTGACCATCTGGAACAGGGTATACTACCTGAGACACAGTGTGGTTTCCGCAAAGAGCATGGCACAGTGGACATGATATTTGCAGCTCAACAGCTCCAGGAGAAATGTCAGGAGCAGAATCGTGAACTATACATCACCTTCGTCGATCTCATCAAGGCCTTTGACACAGTTAGGACTATGGCGCATTATGTCGAAGTTTGGGTCCCCCGACAGGTTTATTCTGATGGTATGACAGTTCCATGATGGCATGGCGGCTCGTGTTCTGAATAACGGTGGAGCCTCAGAGGCCTTCCCTGTTACTAATGGCGTTAAGCAAGGCTGCATGCTGGCACCAACCCTGTTCAGCATGATGTTCTCAGCCATGCTGTCAGACGCCATTCAGAACAGCTCAGTGGGAGTTAATCTGAGGTACAGAACGGATGGGAAACCTGCGAAAACTTCAGGCTGTCACCAAGGTAAAGGAGACTGTGCTACGAGATCTCCTCTTTGCTGATGACTGTGCCCTTAATGCAGGATCGTAGCAGTAAATGCAAGCCAGCATGGACAAATTCGCAGCCGCTTGTGACAACTTTGGCCTCTTTATCAACACGAAGAAAACTGAAGTGATGTACCAGCCAGCTCCAAAAGTCCAATATCAAGAGCCTACCATCACAGTAAAGGGACAAAAGCTGCAAGCAGTGGACCAATTTACGTATCTTGGTAGTACCCTCTCCCGTGCAGTGACAATTGACATCGAGGTCAACTGTAGAATTGCCAAGGCAAGTTCTGAATTTGGCATTTGCGGACTAACGTGTGGGACCGCCGTGGAATAAGTCTTGCTACCAAGCTTAAAGTTTACCAGGCAGCAGTGCTAACTACCCTATTGTATGCTAGTGAGACCTGGACAGTGTACAGGAGGCATGTTAGGCAACTGAACTACTTCCACATGACTTGCCTTCATGGAATTCTGAGGATCCGGTGGCAGGATAAGATACCAGACACAGATGTCCTCTCCAGAGCAGGCCTATCATCAGTTTACACTCTATTGATGAAAGCCCAGATGCGCTGGGCAGGCCATGTTGTAAGGATGCCAGATCATCGCATCCCTAAACAGCTCTTCTATGGTGAGCTGTCTCAAGGAAAGTGATCGCACGTGGGACAAAAGAAGCGATACAAAGACACGTTGAAAGCCTCTCTTAAGTCCCTGGATATTAATACCATCTCTTGGGAACTTCTGGTGCATGATCGACCGACATGGCGCACCTTGGTGTACCAGAGTTGCCAGACATATGAACACAGAAGGACAATCTTGGCACAAGAAAAGCGAGCACTCCGCAAAGCCAGAGCTGCAAATGCTGAAGTAACAGTGTCTACATTTCTTTGTTCAGTATGTGGCAGAACATTCCATGCTAACATCGGTCTTATTAGCCACCTACGGACACATCGCTGATGGCCCATAACCCACAAGATGTCAAGGTCTTCATCGAAATCGATGGATGAACAACATTGTCAGAACCCATGTTTTCTCTGGGGGAGAATCTCTTTCATTTCTTTTTCATCTCTTACTGAGGGTTCTGCCATTCTCCTGAGGGAGAGGGGGGAAGGCTCTGTAGTATGTTTCTCTGCTTTGCTACCATGTATCCTTTCCGCTGTTTCTACATACTTACTCTTTGAACTGTCTCTCCCTTGATGTTACCTTGGAGTGAGAAAGGAATGTGCCTGTGGTCATCTGGCTTATCTCTTTTATTATTCTAATAAAAGTTCCTTTTGGAAAGAAATTGTTCCAAGAGTCCTACTTTCTTGGAATGAGTATTTTTTTATTGAAAGTTTTTGCAATTTTACAATAAAATCCCTCTCCCACTACCTCCCTACCCTCCCAAAAACCCTCCCCCCCCCTTCCCAGAGCTGAATACAGGGTTAGCTAGAACTAAGAATACAAAAAATTTAAACTTAAGTAAATCTCAAACAAAAATTACATTAAAAAAAAAATCCTATATATATATATATATATATATATAAAATAAAAAACTCCAATATATATATATGTAATAAAAAATACTTATTATCTTAAACTTTAAACTTTAAACATAAATTATTCAAAAACTAAATAATATCTTTTAATATCATACTTATACTGTATAAAGTTTATCCATCTTTTCCACACCAAGAGATATTTCTCTTGCGATTGATCTTTCAAATAAGCCGAATTTTTTGCCATTTCAGATAAATAAGAGACTTTAAAAAACCATTCCTCCAAAGTAGGCAAAAATTCCTTCTTCCAATATTGTCCTATCAACAACCTTGCTGCTGTAATTAAATTTACAATGGGTCAATGGGTGTTGGGAAGGAGGAGCACTGGAGAAGAGATCCAAGAAAGTAACACTCAGACATGGCAGTCACCAACCGAGCTGGAAAGTCGAGATCAAGAGGTCGCTTCACCTTAGTGAAGACAAGGACCGACCGCCCCAGTCCATCCGGTTCCTGGAGCAAGCCCCTCACCAGGATCATAGAACTGTTTAGCCCTGGAATGCCCAAGAGGGTTGCACTCAGAGCACTAATAGACTCTGGCTGCACCCATTGCCTCATAAGCCAACTTTAGTGGGGAATTTAGGAATTCTGGTGAGAAGGCTGAAGAAACTGATATCATTCAGTCGGCTCCCTCCAAAGATGTACAATAGGATTCAAGTCAGCGCTCTGGCTGGGCCACTTTAGGACATTCACAGAGTTGTCCCTAAGCCACTCCTGTGTTGTCTTGGCTGTGTACTAAGGATCGTTGTCATGTTGGAAAGTGATCCTTTGGCATAATCTGAGGTCGAATGCTATGGAACAAGTTTTCACTGAGGATAACCCTGTAATTTGCTCCATTCAGCTTTCCCTCAACCCTGACCAGTCTCCCAGTCCCTGCTGCTAAAAACATCCCCATAGCATGATGCTGGCACCACTCCTCGCTGTTGGGATGATATTGGGCAGATGGTGAGCAGGGCCCAGTTTCCTCCAGACATAATAGTTAGAATTGAGGCCAAATAATTCAATCTTGGTTTCATCAGACCAGAGAACCTTGTTCCTTACAGTCCGAGAGTCCTTCAGGTGCTTTTGTGCAAACTCAAAGTGGGCTTTCATGTGTTTTGCACTGAGAAGAGGTTTCCGTCTAGCCATAAAGCCCAGATCGGTGGAGGGCTGCAGTGATGGTTGTCTTTCTGGAACTCTGTCCCATCTCCACACAGGATCTCTGGAACTCAATCTGAGTGACCATCGGGTTCTTGATCACCTCTTTTACTAAGGCCCTTCTTCCATTTGAGAATTATGGAGGCCACAGTATTCTTAGGAACATTCAGTGCAGCAGAAATTTTATTGTACTCTTTCCCAGATCCGTGCCTTGCAATAATCCTGTCTCTGAACTCTGTAGGCAGTTCCTTTGACCTCATGGCTTTTGCTCTGCTACAATATGCATTGTCAGTTGTGAGGCCTTCTATAGGGAGGTGTGTGCTTTTCCAAAACATATCCAATTTAATTTATCACAGGTGGACTCCAATCAAGGTGTAGAAACATGTCAGCAAGGATCAAGACAAATGAGAGGCACCAGAGCTAAATTTCACATGTTGTTACAGACATTTCTAAAAAAAAATTCACTTTGTCATTATGGGATACTGAGTGTAGATTAATGAGGAAAAAAGTGAATTTCAACAACTGTAGAATCAGGCTGCAGCATAACAAAATTGACAAAAGTGAAGGAGGTCTGAATACTTTCTGAATGCACTATATGTAAAGATCCTTTTTGTAGACTTCAGCTCAGCATTCAATACCATCATTCCAGAAATCCTCCTCTCTAAACTAACTCAGCTAGCTGTGCTTGATCACACTTGTAAATGGATTATAAGCTTTCTAATGAAGAGGAAGCAGCAGGTGAAGCTAGGCAAAAATCACACTCAAAAATCCAATTAGCACAGGAGCTCCCCAGGACTATGTGCTCTCTCCATTACTCTTCTTTCTCTGTACCAATGACTGCATCTTGATGGATACCTGTGTTACGGTACTGAAGTTTGCAGATAATACAACAATCATTGTTTCTCATCTGAGATGATAATGAGTCTGCATATAATTGAGAGGTAAACTGGCCCTATGTTGCAGCCAGAACAATCTGGAGCTGAACACTTCTTAAAACTGTAGAGATGATAGTAGATTTTAGAAAATGCTCTCCTATTGTGATGATTTCCTTAGATGCTTCCCCAGATGTAGTTCAGAGGAGGATGAGCCAGTCCGAGGCACTTCAGGAGGGGAGTTGGTCAATAGCTCCAAGGCAAAGTCTGCAAGTCCAAGTGTGGGGGGAGTGATTGATGGGAAAGAAACTGAACGAGCAGCCGGCTGAGAGTGATTTGGCTGAAGCAAAGCTGCAATAGGACAACCCTAAGTCTTCAGGTGGGGAAATCACACAACTGCAGCCAGTCAGTGATGAGAAAGAGGAACTGCCTTCTGCAGTTGATCCAAAAACACATACGACAGAAAAGAGGCAAGAGCAGCTAAGGTCATCCCGACTACTTATGAAGAGGCAGCCTCATCCCCCTTGATAGGCTGCACCAGCTGACTATTTAGCACAGTAGGCATATGGAGACAATGCTGGAAACTTTGTGTTTATTTCCTAGCTGTGTATTTCCTGGTTGTTGTGATTCCTGCCTTGCTTTGGGCTGACACTGTCCCTTGACCTTGGATTATGCCTTGTGAACTCTGGAATTTTCTTGCCTTGTGAACTCTCCTGTATTGTGGATTTAATTTTGTCTGGTGGATTTATCTTGGTTGGGAAACTTTCAAGTGTCTTGTGGACTCATTGGCCATTGCTCTGTGGATTAGCATTGATCTGCTTTTGGCTGGACTTAATTGGGACAGTATTGAGTGAAGGAAATCAATAAACCCACTAAATCCC